CCTAAAGTACCGGCATTTGACGACTCGCGGACCCCATCTGTTGCAAATCTAGCGCAACCGTAGACCTCTACACACTAGTACAGTCTACAAGCGCGCGACAGAAACTCTGCAAGGGTCAACTGGGGTCAACTGGTTCGAGCGCGATCTGGCCAGCGGCGAGCAGGAAGTCAGGACATTCATCAAAATCGATGGGGCAGGCAGTCAAAAGCGTAACTTTGGCTAAAGCTTTTGACACAGTTGCAAGTTTTTAGCCGACTGGTGATTTGGACGATGGAACCCGCAGCGAAGAGAAAAAGAACTCGCGCTTTCCAAGACTTTGGGAGGAAAGGTCGACCCTGGCTCGACTACGACCATGCCAGTCTATCCATGTCATGCGCTTTGTGCAAGACGCATTTCCAAAGGAAGACGAGCGGCGGTGGATTTGGTCACGATGCGTGGTCGAAAGGTAAAAATTCACTGCTTCAAATTATCGGCATGCTGCTCGACTCCTGGGTGCTGCAGGCACTCCCCAGTGCTCTATTATGTGAACATGTTCGTCCTGCTACTAGCACTAATTAGAAAACAGAATTCCTTTTTTCAAATTGTTAAATCAGAATGGACCGTATGCGTGTTAAAACAAAATGGCGTCACGATTTATTGAAAGTGGTATAGTTGGTGGAACGAGTGTTCAAACCCATTTGAACTTCATACTGTTCGTCTTCTTTTTGACATGCTCTCTTTCCATCGTCCTTAGCTTTTGTTTGTTGAGAGCTGTTTTGGCTTTCTCCTATACCTCTGGGGGATGCCAAGTGATGGTTTTGAGAGGCTGGTGATGGCTGTGAGCAAGAGTTTGCCGATCGGCGTCGTCCTCGCTATAGCGATGAAAATACTAGTTACTGCGCACCTGGCAGATATCACAACACGTCGGAGCGTCCAGGAGCAAAGGAATCTTGGGTTTTCACTGGAATCTAGTTCCTCCAGCATCGTGTAGCCCACCGTCGGTGAATGGCGGTCCAGAAAGGTCGAAACTGGTCTTCTGCAGCATCTCGCAGTCCTGCGAGGCACACTGAATACGCCTGTCATGTATTCTACAAATAAAAATCACGAAATAGTGGACTTTACAGTGATGAGTCTATCCTGTATGCTGCAAAAGACGCAGGATATGTGACTGGTGTCCGTACACTGGACGCCAATATCATCCCAGTCTTCTCCTGCAGGATCTGTTTGACATTGACATACCGGTATGCAGTGGGTCGACATTGGCCTGGTTTGGCAGCTATCTGCCTGGGTGGATGTAGCAGGTTTGCATTGGCGCGTCGTCCAGTCCGACATTTTCTTGTAACTGTGGAGTACCGGCAGGGTCTGAGAGGTTGCTCGTGCTGTGAACACATCTCTACTGCCTGTTTCGTCCTGGAAGTGCCGTCTCGCCGCTTCCTTGCTCTACAGTCACGCCGTTATTTCGCTTTGTTTCGTGGTGCAGCTCAAAACCTGCCCAAACAACTGTGAGCTCGCAACATGGTATGGACAAATTGCACCACTCATGCTGGTTAACTAAAACCGGGATAGTCGAGTAAGCGAGTTCACTCCCTGGGCCATGGCAAGATCTGTTCAGCGCGGGCTATTCCAACCTCCAAGTGCATAGTCACCGATCGATCCATGCGATGGTGGTTGACCTACAAAGAGCCAAGGTCTACGAGTACTACTATTGGATGCTGTCTACATGCAGTCAACAAAATCAAAGTACCTCAGTATGCCCCAGAACAGGGCATGTGCATCTATAGCATGACACAACAGGGGTTCTGGCGGCACCTGTCAAACAAGCAGTAGCGACTAGTGCCAGCTACGTATTGGAGGCTAGCCGCTACAGTCTGTCACTGGAGATAATTATTATGTTCACTGTTTAGACTGAGCACAATCAATGATGCCCAATGTGTGTTCTGTTCCACCTAATTATAACGTCCCATCGCATCAACCCTACTACACGCACATGTCGTCACTCTAGCACGACTTGTGTTATTATTGTTTATTTTGATTCGCACGATAAATAGAGCACAATAAACGTTAACTTGACCGAAGGTTAAAGGCGACTGCAGATAGAGGAACACATCAAGGTACAGGTACCGGCATCAATACAGTATCAGAGAGGTACGCAGAAAAAACTCTCGTAAGCCCAAGGGGAAGTGGTTGATGAGGGATGAATGCACTCTCCACGCTTGTCTACACTGTTCGTGGAAATGCACACATACATACAATAATATACAACATAGCAATAGCATGCACAGAACCGAACAATTTCATGTTCACACATGCAAGCACAGACCTGAACATTAGTACCAAAAGCCGATACAGACAATATCCCCATACACACAGACGCACACACACACAATGTCCCATGTATGCGCCCGTGGCGAGAAAAGCATGCAAATCTAAAAATGTACTGGATGTGAACCCACAGATTTTCTCTAATAGCAATGATAGCGGATCTGATTCTGAATGAAACACACACACAATACAATTATTGAATGCCCATCCGCAGATGATGGCAGGTCCTGAAAGAACAGGCAGTGTTCCAGTGATGGGGAACAGAACTTCGAGTGGCGAGTGAGGTATACACACACACGTGCGTGCGCGGGCACACACCAAAGTATGAAGAAATAGAATCGACATCGTAGTATTCATTGGTTGGGGAATGGAAAGGAAAATAAAACATTGCTGTAGGTTATTGTTGTAAGGACACTGGGAGCACAACAGAAAGGTAAGCAACTTGCTTTGAAGCAAAGAAAGTTATTATTCCACGGATCTCAGAAGGAAGGAACGTTCCAGAATGCTGCACTGGCAACAGGCGGCCTGCATGTGCGCGGCCCCTGCAGTCGGTCCAGCTGCCGGCCTTGCAGTGCTGAAAAGAATGTGCAGTACAGCATGTCACATAGTATCGCAGCCTGGACAAATAGGCGCTGGGAAGTCCTAGTTATGTGCTCACCTACACCACGATGCACCAATCTTCTGAGCTACTTTGGCAACAATTTTGTCCACTTGAGACTCCCATGGGCTGAGCCAGTTGTTGAGGGCTGCATCAAGGTGGACGGCAATGACCGCTGATGGCAAGGCAATCCATGACACACAGTCACTAGGGCATCGTCAACATGGCGCTGAGGCTGGATGAATAAAATCAACCTTTAGGCTGCCGCGGGATTGACAACGAGGCCGCTGTCTCGAAGCTAGTCAGTCAGCCTGGTCACCGCCATTGACGAACCAGTCGCCACCGCCAGCAGTGGCGGTAGGTTGTGACAAGTATGGTGCAATATTGTCAGCAAATTCAGTACTCAGGATAAGATGAGTGACAAAGGGAACGTTGTGTTTGATAATATTGAAGTGAACAGGGATGATCACAAACCCTGCGCGTACTCCACCGTGAGTTACAAGAAAATTCCGGACTGGACGACGAGCAAACACCAACCTGCTACATCCAACCAGGCAGATACTACAACGATAGCTGCCAAACCAGGTCAATGCCGACCTACTGCATAATGTCAATGTCAAACAGATCCTGCAGGAGAAGACTGGGGTGTTGGCGTCCAGTCACTGAGTGTACAGACACCAGTCACATTTCCTGCGTCTTTTGCAGCATACAGGATAGACTCATCACTGTAAAGTCCACAACTTCGTGATTTTTATTTGTAGAATACATGACAGGCGTATTCAGTGTGCCTCGCAGGACTGCGAGATGCTGCAGAAGACCAGCTTCGACCTTTCTGGACCGCCATTCACCGACGGTGGGCTACACGATGCTGGAGGAACTAGATTCCAGTGAAAACCCAAGATTCCTTTGCTCCTGGACGCTCCGACGTGTTGTGATATCTGCCAGGTGCGCAGTAACTAGTATTTTCATCGCTATAGCGAGGACGACGCCGATCGGCAAACTCTCGCTCACAGCCATCACCAGCCTCTCAAAACCATCACTTGGCATCCCCCAGAGGTATAGGAGAAAGCCAAAACAGCTCTCAACAAATAAAAGCTAAGGACGATGGAAAGGGAGCATGTCAAAAAGAAGACGAACAGTATGAAGTTCAAATGGGTTTGAACACTCGTTCCACCAACTATACCACTTTCAATAAATCGTGACGCCATTTTGTTTTAACATGAATATCGCGGATTACAGAATGGCACAGACCACGCAGTGGTTGCCAGCTATTCTGGATTCGCCTTGTTCTCTAAAATTTCCGATTTCCGGTAATAAATTCGCCTTTCTGTTTTGCTGCGTTTTGAGCAGGCTTTTTGGTTGTTTTTCTGCCGGATGATCTGACCTGGCTTGACTCGGCTGGCCTGCATGCGCCAGGTACACTCTGACTGGGCTGTGTTGAATGTCTAGAGCAGGCCCTGGGCAGGTGTATGTATCCGCTCTAATCCCTCTACCTCTAGCGTAGAACGTCAGCATATTATGGTTGTCTTCCTGGCTTGCTGGCCCTTGTTGACACGTGGGCATGTTGACACACGGACACAGTGCATGCTGTCCATAATCGCGAGTCAAGTAATCACGCCAGTCACACTTCGTGCCAGCCATTCCAAAAAAGTACATTGTACATTATACAGTACTCCCATTACCAACGAGAAATAGAATATATGAGGCGCTCCAGACGATCGCTACAATAAGGAAGGAACGAAGTATCGAACACTAGGGTAGTAGGGAGTAGTGTGTTGTGACTGACAACTAGTACACGGGTGACAAAAGAAAAAAAAGTCCCGTGCTTTTTAGCACACAGCACGCGACATTTGTCACCTGTCATTGAGATCACCAGATCACTGTCCTGTTTGGCACGTAGCATTGACTAGGAACATGATGATTGACGTCTTCACACAGTCCCGTAATCAACAATCATTATGCCAGTAGCTAACTCTGTTACTCGCTAGCGTGCCGAACAAAAACCAGGTCACACTTGGCACTGCAGGGGCACTCCTGACTCGCAGCCATCTGTTCTAGTAAGTTAGCACTTAGACTAAGTTAGAGTAAAATTATTCCCTCCCGTCTGCAGTTGGAGGTTGATTCAATGAATTGATCTTGCACTGAACGTTTCCTGGAAAGGAGAAGGCCACGAAGGTACTGGTAGTTGTCAGAGGAGTTTCTCCAGTCAGGGCGTATGTTGTATCTTGTCTCGTAGTGGGAGTCTTGAACGATAGGTGCGTCTGCCGGCGCGCTGACACCATCTCGTTGAGAAAATGAAGTGCGGAGTACCGCTGATCGTTGTGCTGATCATACATGTCGGTATGTTCGGAGTGATACCACGGCACACTGGAGCAACAGGTGAGATGATATTGGTGCGTGTGTGTCCGTGCGCGTGTGTGCGTGTGTGCGTGTGCATGTGCGTGTGTCGATCTGACCCCTCTACATACCAACATCACCACTGAGCAAAGGGAATTCAACGGACCACATTTTCTACCCGAGTATGCAAATGGGTGCGTGGTTCAAATAGTTAGAGCATTGGCCTTCTGAACATGATGCCGTGAGATACAATGCAGTTTCTTTCAAATATTTCTGCGAAGACTTTTTTCACTCCTAACTGACTCCCCTCAGAAGATGACTTTGATTGGCGAGGCAGACAGCAAGGGAGAGGAGGTGAACAATGCTCTCACTGTGTCAAGCTCATTGAAACAGAAGGTCACTAATACCTAAAGTTACTGGCCCTACTGTCATAATTGAATTTGGGCTATATTTATACATTGCCCACATATATACTGCATCACTAGTGATAGTGATATCCCGGTGAAAATTAGATACGCCCACAGATAATACAGATGCACTGCTTATCGACACCTGACTGCTGGGATTTCATTGGTAACTTGATGTCCACATGATCACTGGTACACAATCCACAAAAAGCCAGCTGATTCGACCTTGTAAGCATAGCCCTGAGCCCCAACACAAAGTTTGGAGTGATGCCATGGGATAGATGTTCATAGAACAGCTTTCATGTCTGATTGGTTCACAAGTCGAAATCACCTTTACTGCTAGAAATGCAAAGGAGGGAGTTTGGAAGCTCAGGGCCCTACACTATGCTTTTTTGCCTAGCTCATCATGCATGTTATTAGAACTGATGGATTTTTTTCATTGATTGGCTATAGTATTTACGTCGACCATGACGGCTACAATGCCCAACCATACCACAACAAACTGATACGCTACATCATTATAATTATTGCAAAAAGTTTCCATCTGTTCGAATAACATGCATCATGAGCTAGGCGAAAATCATAGCGTAGGGCCCTGAGCGAAAGAAATAAACTTTCTCATTGCATTCGAGGGTAATGCGACACCGTCTACCACCTTAATGACCTAGGCAAAAAAAGCATAGGGATGCTATAAATTTTTCATTTCTCCTATCTTTATTTCAAGCTAAAGACTAGGATTCGAACCCGCACTATCGCCCTACAATGCATTCCCCCAATACACGTCACATACACACTCATTCTTCCAAGTTGCTTCACGTTATGATCTTGCATTTGAAAGCCCTCTTTGAATATTGTGGCCAGCTGTATTTGACGGTACGGTACGGGGCAGGTACGGGTAGGCATCGGGCAAATATGCTCTAAAAATCACCCATGATGCTTTCTCGCAATTCTTACAATACAGCCGATTATGCCTGAAACCATGCCGATAATTCCCGGAAATGCTCATAAATTTAAGCTTGAAATTCAATTTTTTCTTCGTATCCCAACTAGCCATCGAGCAAATATGCTCTAAAATCACCCATGATGCTTTCTTGCAATTCTTAAAACACAGCCGATTATGCCTGAAACCATGGCAATAATTCCCGGAAATGCTCATAAATTTAAGCTTGAAATTCAGTTTTTTCTTCGTATCCCAACACATGTCCGTGGCGAATTTGAAAAATAAGTTTACGTCTAAAATCTTTAGGAAATTTAGCTGTCTGGTGCTCCTAAAACACCACGTGTTCTACGCCATCCATAGCCTAAGTCCGCATTCAGCTGCCGCACCACGCTATGAGCAAACTACCACAGGATTACCGGTACGACTTTTCCTCGGCAAGGAATGGTCATAGATAGGCACCGGGCAAATATGCTCGAAAAATCACCCGTCCCGCCAATTATTCCCGGGAAACCACCGATAATGCTGATGTGATTTTTGCACCCTAAAATGCTTGATATAGTGCAGGCATATTTGCCGGGTCCCTAGGTACGGGATAGCGCCAGGCGTGTCGACGGTACAAACACAAAAACACACACGGAATTAAAGCTGTGGGGACCCTACTCCCTAGTTAGTGCCAGACGCTACTGTAGTAACGTCTTTTTCATAGCTACGGGAACGAGAGAGCTTGGAAGCTCAGGGCCCTACGCTATGCTTTTATGCTTTTTGGCCTAGCTCATCGTACATGTTATTAGAACTGATGGAAATGTTTTTTTTCCGTTGATTGGCCGCATCATTGTATTGCAAAACGTTTCAATCAGTTTGAACATTATTATTATTAATATTATTTTCGTATCCGTTCCCAAAGGGAACTCACGACAATGGAGTGTTGGAACATAAACAAAAATAGAAACATGGTGATGTTGAGATAAAAATGATGCATACATTGAATATGAGCATGTTTTTAGAATATTAGTTAGGCAAAAGTATTTGCAGCATTTATTGCGGATTGTTACTTCTCTAATTTCGTCCAACTTAATTTGCTCCTTCTTTTCTTTTATCTCCTTATACTGTATTTTAATCAACAAATATTGGCCGATGAGAAACTTTGGCCGATCTCGAAACGAAACCTTTCGCCGACATTAAACTTTGGCCGATTGGAGTTTTCAAAAAGAAATCGATCGGTATTTTTTGCTCTCACATGCATCCATTGCTCAATGATACATCATTTGCCTCTATGACAAACTTTGGTCTGCGATTTACTTTGGCCGGTTGGCACCAAGCGGCGAAATCAGCGAAATTAAATCGCCAGCGAAAATTGGTTGATTTGAATACAGTGATCGGATTTTCTGGCCTTTTGTAGTAATACATTGACCTGTTGAGTCAATGAGGACGGCCGAATGCATGGTTGTCTGTGGAGCACATTACATAACTTTACAGTCTCCTAAAATACGTAACCTGTCCGAAGGTAAAAGAGGCTGCAGATTTAGTTTTTCTGCGCGTCGACGGGATGTCTGTCCTGACGTTTCCTGGGACCGGCGCTGACTCTGCCGATCACGGGCGTTCTGGAGTCGACGGGATGTCTCCCCTGATGTCTCTTCCAACCTTTCCTTTGACCGGCGCTGAATTGCCCGTTCACGCTTATTTTGGAGACGACGGGATCTCTCTTCCAAAGTATGTTTTTGCTGACGCATCCTACCATCTATTCGGCAACTAACGCCCATTCTAAATTCTATTCCTCCTCGTCTCCCTATTTCTTTCCAAATCTCCCTCTACATCAGGGAGTCATATACATAATACGACGAATATTGTGGCCAGTTGTTTGTACGGGACGGCGGCGAAATCAGCGAAATTAAATCGCCAGCGAAAATTAGTTGATTTTAATACAGTAATCGTATTTTCTGGGCATTTTGTAGTAATACATTGACCTGTTGAGCCAAAGAGGACGGCCGAATGCATGGTTGCCTGTGGAGCACATTATAACTTTACAGTCTCCTAAAATCCGACGGCAAAAGAGGCTGCAGATTTAGTTTTTCAGCGCGTCAACGGGATGTCTGTCCTGACGTTTCCTGGGACCGGCGCTGACTCTGCCGATCACGGGCGTTCTGGAGTCGACGGGATGTCTGTCCTGATGTCTCTTCCGACGTTTCCTGTCACCGGCGCTGAATCGCTCGTTCACGCTTATTTTGGAGACGACGGGATCTCTCTTCCAAAGTATGTTTTTGTTGACGCATCCTATCATTTATTCGGCAACTAACGCACATTCTAAATTCTATTCCTCCTCCTCTCCCTACTTCTTTCCAAATCTCCCTCTACACCAGGGAGTCGTATACATAATACGACGAATATTGTGGCCAGCTGTTTGTACAGGACGGTACGGGCCAGATACCGGAGCCAGCAAATATTGTGGCCAGCTGTTATGTACAATCCTGTAGAGCCTTTGTAGTCACAGATAGGGGACAGATACGTAACAGATACGGGATAGCTCCAGGAGTGACACAAACACACAAACAAACAAACACCAAATTAAAGCTGTGTGGACCCTGGCTAGCGCCAGACGTTACTGAAGTAACGTCTTCTGCATAGCTACGGGAATAAAGCTGTCCTTTATCAGCATTAATCCACTGCCACCTAAAAAAGAAAGGCACCATATTGGACCTTCCTCACTAAGCAAGACATTGGTGTGTGTCTATGTGTGGTTTTCTTTGTCTGTGTGTATGTGCGTACATGTATTTGTTGTGTGTATGTGTGTGTGTGTGTGTGTTTGCGCGTGTGTGCGTGTGTGTACATGCGTGGGTGTGAAAGTGTGTACGCATGATGGTGGGTGCATTTGTGGATGTGTCGGCGTCGGTATACATGTATGGTGCATGTGTGTGTATCCATATGTGTGTGCATGTGTGTGTGTACTTTGGGTGGAAATGTTGGAACATGTTTCTCTCCGCCTTGCAGCCTCAACACCATGCATCTTGTCACAAAGTCCAGGAAATCTTTCCATTGACAATCATATGAAGCTGACAAGTGTGCAGCCTGGTGATGGACATTTTCTCCAACCGCAGACAATTGTCCCTTTCCCGAACATATCCTTCTACAGCAGCTGTCCATTTGTCCAGATTGATATTATTGCAGACGGGCTTGATTCGCTCTGCTCACCGAACTTGGCCATATTGAAGGAATTCCCTGGAAAAAAGTATCAGATTGCCTCTAAACTCATTCCACCTAGTACACATGTAGTGGGCATTGCAACATGGACTGGGGTGACCCTTGATGACTACATATCTGATAACAGCAGTGGTACTGAAGAATATATCCTCGGGATCGCCATGACATCAAACTGCAAGCCGACCTATAAAGCTGCCTCGACGGGAGTTACCTGGGTCTTGACGCAAGGCAGCTCACCACGTGCCTTACAGAAGTTTACCTTTGGTGCGGCACTAGAACCTCCTGTCACATTGACCATCCGCGGTAAGTGCCAATCATCCACTCAATGTACTTGTATATATACCCAATGCTGTAGACAGCAAGCTGTTTTGGCCATAAAGGCCTCATCAGTACAGCTACGAGCTTTTAGCGAGCCGAGCTTCTAGCCACGGTGCAAAGGAGGCACCACAGACATTAACATGGCTCGTCGCTCGTCTCGTCTAGCGCCAGAGTGCTCAAACTATGAAAAGTAGCGGGCAATGCGTATAAGTACATGCACACCATTTACCGATATTGCTGTAACCACTATTTTAAAAGACAATCCTTATACATGTACAAGTATCATAGCGATAAATAGTTTTAGTCTGCGTTTACACGACAACGAAGTGCGACCAAAAAAGGAACGAAATCGTTGCGTTTAATATTATTGTTTCTACGATAACGCACAAAAATGCACCCGGGAACTCGCGGCCTGACAGGAGAGAAACATGGATGCCGTGAATTCGATTTTCCGTCTTTGATCACTTTCCTGGGGGGCTGATCTACTCACCTCCCACCGCTTGAGCTGTGGCGTCTGTGCCTGTGCCTTAGATCGTTGCAGGGTGGTGTGGTGGCATCCCTACTGAAAACTCAGCCGAGCCTCAAGTGAACCGCCGTGAATTCTTTTTTATATCCCCATATATGGTATGGATGAGCGCTCCGTCGATTCATGTCGGTCCATACAACACTCAACATGCCCATGCCCCCCCCCCCCTCCCCACACACACAAATTGGATAGTTTTAGTCCCATGCCCCCCCCCCCCCCCCCCCCCTCTGCCAAATCAATAATTTTGTTGCAATTGTAGGCAGCCTTTTTTTACAATAATTAGCATTGCTTGTTGATCTTATTCATTCTTTCTGCAGCATTGGATGCGTGCCATCATGCTGAATGTGATAACTGCCAGACGCTCTATCGAAGCTGTCCTGCATTAGGGGCAAATGGAACAAGTCAACATCAATACTATTGCAGTAGTGCATCTAACTACACCTGCTCAACATTAACTATCGTGCAGCCTACAAACCGCACAACACAGCCGACAACCTCTCCTCAACAGAACACCTCTTTAGCAGTTACAGCGACGACTGTCGAATTGGCTACATCTTACACACTTAAATATAACTCATCCAGTGAAGTCTCAACGCCTGAGTCATCCACTCCGGTATCACAAAGTACTGCAACAAGTGCAGATGTGGCCATCAGTTATGTCACAGGGCCATCGACTAGTGTCATTCTGGGCATCTGCGTGCCCTTGATTATCCTCGCCCTGTGCATGCTACTAATACTACTACATCGAAGGAAGAAGCGCAACTCCCTGGCAGGAAGAGATCAGTCACGGCTGCAACATCGAGAAACCGAAAACGGGCTGATGCTCCCGCGTCCCTCGAGCGGCTATGTAGCCCAACCTCAGACAAGTAGTGGAGCAGCACAAAATCCGTCCGAGACTCTATACTATGATATTGCGTTGGAACCAGTGAAAGCAAGTAACTCCATGCGGATTTCCAGGTCTTCGACCATTGCTGACAGTGAAAACCAGCGCCCTGACGATGAGGATGTCCCAGAGGATTCATTGAACAGTGAACATCACAACGGTCCACAATACGCTCATCTGGAGACTCCTGGAGAAGCCAGTGCCGAAGCTCAAATGCATGAATATATGCTACCGTCTACACACACACAATCTCGCCCCAACCATTACCAAAGTCTGGATCCCCATAGCAACGCTCTCCATGGAGGTGAATCTTCTATTGAGAACAGAGCATACGATTGTGTGTACACGCCCAGATCTTCCTCTTTGACCGATGACAATACCCGGCATCAGGAACCGTCAAGCTCGTCAAATGGTGAACGCAACCACGAGTCCAGATCTGCTGATCTGGAGAAGCCCGATGACGCCATTGCTGATGTCCCAGGACCCCACTGCATGGCACTGTCCTGCGGCCCCATTTATCCTGATCCGAAGAGACCCGATGACGTCATTGCTGATGTGCAACCACCCCAGCATGCATCGCTATCCAGCGGCCCTATCTATCCTGATCCGAAGGGACCTGAAGACACTTACGACCATGTAGAATGACACTGTTAGTAGCAATGTGCATCATGACATCATCTCGGTTCCCATAGCAACGTCCGGCACAGAGATGCATACCATACCGGCAATTGGCGTGATCGTGATGCAGACCCGGTGCTCCACAAAACACCTCACTCCGAGGAATACAGCACCGGGGCCTAAAATTTAGAAAATTCATGTTTTGCATTTAACCTTTATGGCCCGTATGATACGTTTTATCCTGACAAGCTCTGAGTGTGTTTACTCTTGTACAACCCACTATGGTTGGTTGCAGTTCAGGTTAATACAAGTATAGAGATATATTGTCAAATACACATACAGTACAATGCATAAGTAAGAGGCGTTGGAAACCTCGGTTTGTTGTAATATGCTCAACATAGTGCGGGGTCTTGTTTCACATGAACATGCTCTAAGCAGCTGCGCGTTGGGACCAGTCCGAACCTAGAAGATGGTGACAATATGGTGGTTAGAGCATTGCTCATGATAAGCAAGGTCCGGGTTGGAACCCAGGTGTAGCTGCCGTGTTTTCGTTTTTCTAGCGATTTACTTCCCTGACAGTTAACAATGAATTTTAAGTTCTCACATGTCCCATACTGCTACCCACTCCCATGTCCCATACTGCTACCCACTCCCATGTCCCATACTGCTACCCACTCCCATGTCCCATACTGCTACCCACTCCCATGTCCCATACTGCTACCCACTCCCATGTCCCATACTGCTACCCACTCCCATGTCCCATACTGCTACCCACTCCCATGTCCCATACTGCTACCCACTCCCATGTCCCATACTGCTACCCACTCCCATGTCCCATACTGCTACCCAGTTGCTTGCATCTCTTCGCAACCCGGCGGTTGTTGAGGCTCGGATCGTGATCTGATCCGGCTCAGGAGCGGTATTGTGTGGGAACTGAACGGATGTTTGTCATCAAGTGTACAGTGTTTTACTCTCTCATTGTGTTTTCTGACACATGTGGTATGGTATTTTTATTCCCGTAGCTATGCAGAAGACGTTACTTCAGTAACGTCTGGCGCTAGCCAGGGTCCACACAGCTTTAATTTGGTGTTTGTTTGTGTGTTTGTTTGTTTGTGTCACGGCTGGCACTATCCCGTATCTGTCCCGTACTGTACCGTACCAGCAAAGCCACAATATTTTTGTTTGTTTGTGCCATCGATATGCCTGGCGCTATCCCGTGCCTGTCCCGTACCATCAAGAGTACGGTACCATCAAGAGAATGAGTATATAATGCGAAGTGTATCGGGGGAATGCATTCAGTGCAGTAAGATTTTGTGTGGATTTGTGTGCGAGGCCGAGATCCCACTAGCAGGCTGGCTGGGCCTCCTGTCGAACCGCCCGGGAATCGCATGTAGGCCAATAGCATAATAAATATAACGTTACAGTCATGTAGATGTAAAAAGCATTTCCATCAGTTCTAACAACATGCACGATGAGCTAGGCAACACAGCATAGCGCAGGGCCCTGAGCTTCCAAGCTCTCTCGTTTCCTGTATTTTATTCTATTGATTTTTTTCACGGAGAAGGCGGACAGCCCGAACGTGCGCGTAAAAAAATCTCTTTGCAACCTCCCTGTACACGTATTCTGCAACACCGAGCAAGAGAGACCGAGCAAGAGATTTTTTTCACTTTCTGGGTAACTCCACAAGTTGTACTGGGAAGATACGGTTCAATCTGAAACTTCGGTTTCGGTTGTTTTCCTGTCCCTAGCGACATACTGTAGCGGACATGGAAATCCAGTCGATTGGCCGGGGCCGGCGCCCTCAGTGCGTACAGAACGCTGCGTGCAGTGCACTTGCTGATCCGATGCGACCAGCGCGCTGCAGCGCATAATGATAAAATTTATCATTATGCGCTGCAGCGCTGGTCACGCACATGCATTTAATGCATGTGCGTGTACCGCTTATCCACGGCTGCATGACCAGCGCCCCGGGGCCGCTAGACGTGTGACCGGATTTCCATGTCCACAACAGTAGACGCAATAATTATTATAGTTTCGCACTAAACTGTCAAACATACAGTCATGTACATTGCAAAAGAAAATTTACCTTGAGTGAGACACATTACCATGATGGCCTGGTGCATTTCCTGTGGCAAACGCACTCTGAATGAATGACATGTTGTCCAGTTACACAGCTCTGAACACTTGACGCACCTGGACATTGGATCAGAATACATTGTATTGGTGTTTTGCTGGGCGAATCTGCTACATGTACATGTACTTTGTAGTACACCAGGACTGACCAGGTACAGCATATTATGCACTTTTAAAATTAAAGCCTCTGCGAACTATCTGCACCCTCTCTGCAGGACAGAATATTTATTTTTATATTTACCACTCCCTTAGTATTGACTCCCATAGATTTTTGCTATACCTAAGCAGTCAAATATTCGTAGACAGGAAAAGGACATATGGATACGAGTCAAATGTTCCTGCATATTATTTTCACTCCAATAGGGCTATATTGACCGCTTATATTCTACTCCTTTGAACACATGCTTTGGTTAGTCGCCCAAGTGTATTACCATACATGAGAGGGGGACATCGGTAACCTAATTACAGATTACTACCGAAACCCCATTGGGCGTCCGACACCGACATTAATGGCAGTTCATGGTTGATGTTAGCATTTGATGTGCCTCAATCTTGGGACAGCTACGTGTAGCTGTTTCAACCTTGTCGTGTCCCCTCAGCGGAACTCAGACTCAGAGTGACTCGCAGGACCTACATGTACATCATGTACATTGTATTTTTTTTAAGTGTTAGACAGTTGTCCAGAAACCCTCAGGCGGGCTGCGGTGCTGTCAGATGCGTGTTTTTCAACATGAGGCTCGGAGTACCAGCGAAGAAGGACGTCACTTGGTTTTGTCAGTGCTGAGTGAAACTACTTCAAACTGTTCCATAGTACATGTATTGCGGAAACACGGCGTGAGCCCTAACGTAATCAACAGTTCTTTAAGGGCGAAGTTGGCTGCTTTGTTTTTGAATTCTTTGCTCCTGCTGCACTCGTAAAGGGAAACTGAACGCCAAAAATAAGTATGGCTTATCCGAAGGAGAATTGGGCACTGATTCCGATGAGCTATGTCTCGAGCCGATCAGAGAAGAGGAACCGTGTCAAATTTCATAAATAACACCTTCCATATTTGGAAATTGGGCTTGATGACGTGCGTACTGCTTAGCTGTCACCATGCTGTGCATGCTCAGCAGTGTAATTGAATGAAAGAAAACAATTACTTTGGTGTTTTGCAGCTCTATTTCGTTCCCTGACGGTAACCAAATCTAGATGTAGGAAACTGTTGAGCAGGAGAGTGACACATGTCTTCCCGAAGGCTGTCCAGGCTGCAGTGGTGATGAAGAAGACACGATCAACACCCCAAGATTGATTATAGCGAATTGGAAAACTCATGGTGAATTTGCTTCCACTCCAAGGCAATGTCGAGGTATGAAGGGTGCTTGTACTGCCTTCCAAAGTGAAGCGGAGATGAACATGGCTTTGCATATCTGTTGCTCTACGCCAACTTACCTACTCTTGCTGGTACCGTAGTGGTATATTGCAAATTTCGTGGACGAACAACTCGAGTCACTAGTGGCTAGTGAGCAACACTAACAGGTGAGATTTTTCAATTTGACAAAAATTGTTTTTGTTTGAGAACTGACGGTGGCAGTCATTTGACTCAGTAGGTGTCTCTGCTGCTTCTTTCCCTTCTTTGACGGACCTATTGAAGATGGCACAAAGAATTATTTCTTTCCCTTCATTGGTAGGGTTGTGCTTGATAGTACAAGTGCTTGAAGTAAAATAAAATAAATAAAACATGTGGAACATAAATCTAATCAAGCATTAGTACATGTATTGCGAATTTCAACTTCAAAGCACATGAAATCACAATGATCACAAAGTTTATGGAATCAGGAGGACTATCAATGTTCAACGAACACAATACACACATGCTATATTGCGCACACGCATGTACACACGTGCGTGCACCCCCACCCCATCCCACAGACACATGCATGCAGCGCGCACATCCATACACATGTGCGTCTACCCCCCCCCCCCACACACACACACGTGTGCACAGACGGATACACACACACACACACAGAAACACACAAGATACGTGTAAGTGTACATGGTCTTCCTGGTGCAGATGCTGGGCCAGCACAATGGAAAATACCTCCATCAATATGCTTGATCAAGTGTTGTGATAATGGCACTGCTTGTTTGTTTTTTACAAAGACGTGTGGGAAGGATTACAATGCGTTATAATTCATATTATTGTTCTTTGCCTTGTACTGTGCAGACCAGAATGCTTCGCCATCAACTCCTGGCTTTCCATCGGCATGGTGTTCAGCTGCAGCGGCATCTGGTCCGGGGAGTACAAGTTGCTGGATGGCTGCACTGACACAGAATGGGTTTGCGTTGGCAATGAAATACGGCAGTCATCCCACATTATGAGCTACAAGTTTATGTAATTTATATTGTCGCTCGTCCAGCAACGTCAAGGCTCTGCATGTAAACACAGGAGAACACCATAATAATTATACTACTCAGGGGATACTTATAATTTTGGCCTATCAATTTCTTGACATTTATGAGTTCCTGTCTAAACCATGCCGTGATATTGATTGCTATCTGCTCACAAAGTACCTCGTATTGTAACAATACTCTGCTTAATCACTACCCTCTGTCAATTATTAGATTCGCATAATATTCACAACATATGCAACACGATGCTGTCTATTGACACTACTTCGAACTGAAATGCTCACTTCTCGTCTCCCGTTTGCAACTCCCTCTACCTTATGAATACTCTACTTTACTGGTTTCGTTTCTACCCTTTCCATTGCTGCCAGCTCCCAGTCTTTTTCAGTGCACAGCACCACCTTGAAATTTTTGTGATTTGATGTACACATACTTTGAAGTTGAAATTCGAATTACATGATCAGATTTTTGTTCCACATGTTCTATTTATTTTGACTTCAAGCACAACCCTACCGATGAAGGGAAAGAAGCAGCAGAGAGACACCTACTGAGTCTAATGACTGTTTTAAAATGTCAGTTCTCAAACAAAAACAATTTTTGTCAAATTGAAAATCTCACCTGTTAGGGTTGCTCACTAGCCACTAGTGACTCGAGTTGTTCGTCCACGAGATTTGCAATATACCACTACGGTACCAGCAAGAGTAGGTAAGTTGGCGTAGAACAACAGCTATGCAAAGCCATGCTCATCTCCGCTTCACTTTGGAAGGCAGTACAAGCACCCTTCATACCTTGACATTGCCTTGGAGTGGAAGCAAATTCACCATGAGTTTTCCAATTCGCTACAATCGATCTTGGGGTGATATTCGTGTCTTCTTCATCACCACTGCAGGCTGGACAGCCTTCGGGAAGACATGTGTCACTCTCCTGCTCAACAGATTCCTACATCTAGATTTGGGTACCGTCAGGGAACGAAATAGAGCTGCAAAACACCAAAATAATTGTTTTCTTCCATTCAATTACACTGCTGAGCATGCACAGCATGGTGACAGGTAAGCAGTACGCACGTCATCAAGCCCAATTTCCAAATATGGAAGGTGTTATTTATGAAATTTGACACGGTTCCTCTTCTCTGATCGGCTCGAGACATAGCTCATCGGAATCAGTGCCCAATTCTCCTTCGGATAAGCCATACTTATTTTTGGCGTTCAGTTTCCCTTTAACATCATCGGTTTGTGCGTTCAATAAAACACGTTTTACAAGCTGTAGTACTTGTAGTAAAACTGCACTGATACAGTCTGTTTGGCGGACTCAGACTGATAGGTGTCGTGAACATTTCCGGATCAGAGCGACGTGAAGGTCCGCTGAGCGCAATCGCAGCCGCTGTGACGACATGATGTATAATTATGAGCAGCGCAGGAGCAGACGGGCTATATAACCATAATCATTGCGGCCTATCCTTGAAGCAGACGGCACGTAACATCTTCCTGCTTTGGACAGCAAGCATGGAGTATATCCGTGTATTGAACGTGCATATGTACCAATAAATCTTGAAAGCCTTTTCACGACTTGCTTATTGTACATGTACATGTACTTAGGATGTCTATTCACAACTTCTAATGGCGAGTATTGCGAGCTGGAAAGCTGGCATTTCGCAACCGTAGGCGACGAATGCGATAAATGCGGCTGAGCTGCGACTATGGACAAAAGCTGGGAGTCGTAAAAGCTTTTACGACTCCCTGGACAAAAGTATCGTACTGTGTCGTTCTGTGTCTGTCCAGTCGACCTAGCCTGACCCACCTTGCTGGCCAAGACGCAAATCACCTGTGTGGATTGTAGACTACGCGTACTGGAAGCCCATTATTTGATCAACTGGATACCCGCAGCGCAGGGTGCAAACTGTTACCAGACGTGCAGATCTCATGATTAGAGAGAATTGTACTGAAATAAAACAGACTTTAGGTGACAGGTACTAGTAGTTTTATGTAGGCTACATTAGGAATTAGTCAGAATTGACTTCTTCGAAATGACCAGTTCGTATCCGCTTGGATCCTGTTGCGTGTCTGCAAGACACCTGACACCTGAGCGCAGGCAGTCCGAGCAGCACCTACATGTACATGTACGTAGTAGAGTCTACCCTGCGGAGTACTGTACGCACTCACACCCGCTGTTCGCAGACATGCTCGATGTACTCCCAGTAAATCTACACTCTCATAGTCAAACCTCTAGTCTGCGCTATTTGTTTGCCACAAACTGATCGTTTAGCTCAAACCGAGACAGCCACAGACGCAGTGTCAGCTTGCTTTTTTAGTCTAGTCGGTGTGGGACTCAAACTTTCCAAAGCCTGTGGGCTCTCCTTGAATATATCTCTTCAATAGATCTCCGGCTTGAACATCAGTTGTAGATGATCGAGGGTGGCAGCGGTAGTGAGTGGCGACCATGAAGTTCGATATCATGATCGAGTTGGTGGCAGTGGCGGTGCTGGTTCTCTTCGGGCTGACACCACAACACGCTGCAACAACAGGTAACGTTACAACGTACAGTGCGCACTTGCAGACCTACCCAATACCACTTTTTTTAAATAGCAACGTTCTCAATCAATCTTGGAGATGATAGATCATTTACATTATATGACCATCACTATCTTATTTTTTTTATTATGCGTCCTGGACAAAAATCATCATTTGAGTACGCAAAGTAAGTTCACTACTATACAGTCGTTAGCAGTTCAGTAGATCCCAGCAAGTATGCATAATTATAGTGATCAAAATGACTAACAGTTAGGATACAACTTCACTCTCTGAATTGTCAAGCTTTGATAGTCACGATAACTGTGACACAACAATCATCATGATGATCCTGACAACTGTCACTGCCCCCCCCCCCCCCCCCCCCATCCACTATCATACCATTCCTAGAATGCATTTATGCAAAGATCACGCAGTGTATAATACTATTTTCCCTTTCCACGGTTGTTCCTGTGAGGTTAACTGTCCCTGCCATCGAATCATTTAAGCTGGCAACCTGGTCCTAAATCCCTGAAAAATCGAATTTGGAAATTCACATCGAGTGCTACATCAGTTGAAAGAGCATGAACAGCTGCAAAATCTCTGAAAATTTTTATCTCGATCTGACCAGCCGTTCAAGAGTTATGGTGGACAATGTGCCCTTGCGAGGAAAGATTTTTTGTTGCACGCTGTCATTTGCTGGCAGCACTGTATTTGAATGTGAGCAGACCGTGCGCAACTTGTCGTATCATGGAAAACGCGAAAGTGTGCAGAATTTTGCTCCAAGTCCAAAACGTCCAAAAAATCACGTTAAAAAACACGTATTGGGCTGCACGGACTTTTGCCAGCACCCTCGTGACGTTGCAGATATGTGGCTTGATTATTGTAGTTGACGTTGATTTAGTGACTTTGGTAAGTTTGAGTCGTGTCAAGAAGTCAGGTAGAATTCAGTACTAGGCAGTAGTGGAACGTGAGTGGTAGTCTTTGCCGATTTTGGAGGGTATCCTCGATTCGGTTTGAAGCGCTGTGGAAATGGCTTGCTGTGGACGTCCCAGCACTGGATGTTGTATCAAAGGTACGACCTCGTAGCACGCCCTGAACCTAAAAAAATTCAAAAATTGACTTGGGTCTGTGGGAGTATGTGACAGAACGCCCACTTCTGCCGTTGTGACAGATTCCACGGCCACGTTGAAGGGCCCTACCCCACCGCCCATGGCTGCTTCTGGACGTTTTTTAGGTTTGGATCCTGCGCACGGACAGAATTGGCTAGAAAATGTGAAAAATTGTAAATGTATTTGTTTGGCTCCTGGGTGGCTCGCCAACCGTGGCACTATGCTGGAATTTTGAGTTTTTCCGGCCTGTAAAGCCTGTCAATGAGGCGCAAGAACTTTTAAAGGTCCAGAGGGCCAGCATAGTGGCAGGAGTGTGTGGTGCAAATTTCACTCAAATCCATTGAGAGACACCAAAGTTACGGTCAATTGAATGCCATTTGAAATTTAGGACCAGGCTGCTACCTTAACAGCGTGGGCTTCGGTGCATGTCGCTGTTGATGACAAAATGTAAGTAGCGTGCTTTGGACCCCATACGTCAAGGTAGCTGGTGATGAAAACTAGTACATGTACATATATTGGCTTTCAGGACATGCTGGCTTTGAGATAGATTGGTATGGACCACTCTTGTTTGATCACCGACTTAGTAGTAGAACCTTTCTGTTCTCATATTTTGCTCAGCAAGAGTACAGAATGATACTCCAGGCAGGCGCAGTGGGTTGCTCAAAGACGGTGATTGAGATACCCAAAGTCAACTGGGAATTAGTGGCCAGGCACAAGGGGTACACGGATGCGGCTAATGGTGTTTCTCCACACTTGTGCCAGTGGTTGTGAGCCTTATCCCCTCAGACCTACCACTAGGCGCTGCATCTGCTGCTATGGTTCACCGGGTGTTAGCGGGTGTTAGCATGCGTCGTGAGTTCCTTCAGGAACGGACACGATAATTTACTTTTTTACTTTTTAATACACACTAGTCACAGAGTACTACGCGTCTGCCACTGGTCTGCTTCTGCATTGAGCACTCTATCGAACCGGAGGACTCCGCTCTCTGTACTTTTTAATACAGATATTGTGTCCAGTATTTGTCCTAGAATTAGTACACTCATATCGCTCTTATCCGGGTGGTCCGGGACCGGGCATTGCCCAAAACTAGGAAATGTCCATAACTCTGCTCACGGATGTTTTGATCGAGAACGATTAGAGATCTGACTTTTTGCTTGCAAAAGGTTGTTGTCCAACCCAATTTCAGTTTGTCGTGGTCGGTATGATGATTCGTGGTTTGGTGTTGTTCGTTATGCGACCAGTTTCAAGCAGTTGAAAGTTTTAGAGGCAGTATACATTCGTATTCGTGATCCTAACGTTTGGAAGCAAAAGAAAAGTTACTTCGCCACCACCCTTCCAGTAAATTCGCACTCACACGCAGCTATACATACACTGTCACTTTGCACCTCATCATACCTTTCTCCCTTTGCTGAATGAACTATTATATTCTCACCTGTATAATATCTCTTCCCCCAGTGTTAAAGCTATATTCGAAGTACAGTACAACCTGGTATAAGCGACCTCTCGATTTAGCGACCACCTGCTCTTAACGACCGTTTTTCCATGCACCGACAGTTCTACACATACACTGAGGGACCTGGTTCTAATGACCACCGGGCTTTAACTGCCGCTTTTCCTTGCACAGTTGAGTGGTCGCTTAAACCAGGTTTTACTGTATGTGCTTTTTCTTATCAGTGCTAATCAGTGCTAACGACAAAATGTGTGGGTATCACAGACATAACGCCCGGAAAGATTGGAAGTAGCATTTAGTAGAAATGCTCATACTGAGACTGTCGTGTGTGGCAGCGCGTGCCTTGGCAAGAATCTGTGGAATTAGTATTAGTGTGGGAAAGGGTAGTAAATAGAGATGCATTACATGTAGCGACCACAGCTGTGCAATGCCAATCTTGCTATTTGAGTATGCACATGTGTGTGTGTGTGTGTGTGTGTGTGTGTGTGTGTGTGTGTGTGTGTGCGTGTGTGTGTGTGTGTGTGTGTGTCTGCGTGCTGTGCGTGTGTGTGCGCTCGCCCGCCTGCATGCGCCAGAGTGTATGCATGTAAGTGGGCGCGTTTGTGAATATGTGAGCGTCTATATGCATGTGTCCATATGCGTGTGTGTATTTTGCGCGGTACTGTTGCTACCTGTCTCTCTCCCCTTGCAGTCTCGGCACCATGCACAATGTCACAAAGCCCAGAAATTCTGACCATTGACAATCATATAAAGCTGACAAGTGCGCCTGGTGCTGGAGTAATTGAGCAACCGCGGACAATTGTTCCTTTCCCGAACATATCCTTCTACAACAGCTGTCCATTTGTCCAGATTGATATAACTGCAGATGTGTCTGAACAATTGTGCGACCCGAAGTTGGTGCTATTGAAGGAATTCGCTGGAAAAAAGTATCAGAATGCTTCTGAACTCATTCCACCTAGTACACATATGATGGACATTGCAACATGGACTGGGGTGCCCCTTGATGACTACATATCTGATAACAACAGTGGTACTATATCCTATATTCTTGGAATCACCCTGAAATCCAAATGCCTGTTGACCTGTAAAGCTAACTGGCCGAACGTCTCTTGGGTCTTGCCGCTAGGCACCTCACCAAGTGTCTTACAGACGTTTTCCTTTGGTGCTGCTCTGGAGCCTCATGTCACGATGACCATCCGTGGTAAGTGCCTGTCATAATGTCTACATTAGGTCCAGCTTTACGCACTTTACACAAGAGTGGAAATACATGGCCAAGTCAAATCGGCGGAGAAGCGCGAGCTCCAATTCGGGGAACAACCTACATTCTGATGTGCACATTGTTATACATCTACGGTCACATAAGTACGAACGGCTGGTTGCAACTCCACGTTTCACACAGAGTGATCATAATAGGCAAGATAACAACATCAAACAGGGATTATGCTCCTATTGGTGTAGTGAGGGCACTCTGTGGTTGCTAACGTCATGGACTGATTAGGTTGTACAGTCAAACTCATGAATAACACCCCGGGTATAACAACAACTCGCAAATAACGACACAATCTTCAGGCCTAGTGACCATTTGACTGCATATTTTCAACGTCACGAATAACGACAACTCATGAATACATGGATGAAGGGGGTAAGGAAAAATGGTACGAGTTATGTCCCCCTCTCCTTTTTGTTCGTGATTACATTGGCTCACCATCCGAATTCAACTCGTGAATACCTATGTCTTTTCTCATGCACGACCGAGAGTCGTTACATTCATTCGCAATGTTGCTTGATTCCATGTTTGGCCCTGGGAAGACCAAAAT